GGGCGGGAGGGGCGGTGGCAATTGGAAAGGGGCATGCAAAGCTAAGTGGCAACAAAAAGGATCTAGTAAAGCGGAGCGGCAACATAAAGGGTATGGCTAAGCTAAGCGGCAACAGAAAGAGTCTGGCGAAGTTGTGCAGCCACAGAAAGGATCTGGCAAAACTGAGCGACAACAGGGAAGGTCTGGCAAAGCTGAGAGGCAACAAGAAGGGGGTTGGGAGTCTGTGTGGTAGCAAGGAGAAAGTTGAACAGGCGCAAGATCGAACAGATAACCAACGCCGATATTGTCAAAGAACCACCAGTCCTCGAATAAAACCATAATAAGGGAGAATATGCCTAGCGCTAGGAGCTCTGAAATCAGAAACACAAGAATTGTGCCTTAAAGCACTCAAAACAGCACATATATAGAACAAAAGGAAAGAAAAAAGAGATAGAAGAAGGGGAGAAAGGGGACAATTCCCACCCCTTGAATTGTCGAGCGGTCCAGCAAGGCCTGGAACCGAGCCTTCAACTGAACTGGTTGGTCTTGCTATTTAGCAGGCCAAGCCTCGCGTCGCTGATAGATCCACTATTAAGGTTCTACTTTGTGCACCAAAAAAAAAATATTGGCTACATCCACCATTGTCCAAAAAATGAATGAAATGACAAATGATAACATTCTCAATATGGATGACGTTCAAGACCAATACCAATAGAATCTCTTTTATTGATAATATCAAGCACTCATTTAAATATCATCAAGATAATAGTTTAGGATCAACCATTATGTGCAAGTTTCTAACAATAGTTCACCTAAAACACTGACTGAGTCACTCAAGCACCCAACAATCAACAAGCTTTTTTTAAACGTTAATGTAGTGTCAGTGCACAACAAAAATCGTTTAATAAATTGAAGCTAGATGGTTGCCCACTGCTTACAACTCCTATAATTCTACTAACAACCCTGCCCTCATTTCCAGTTGAATATACTGCACGGATTTCTTGAATTTATCTTGTCTTGCTTCACAGTATGACTTTGTTTTTGAAAGCATGGGAAATTTTAGGTGTGGATTAATAGTTAATGATAGTGCAAATAAATGTAATTGGTTCTTTAGGCGGATGACTGTTGAATAAGTATTCAAAGTGTACTATTGTAATTTTAAGTCGGTAAATACTCATAATTTGGCATTATTAGAATCAATAATTAAATAGATAGTGCCCTCTTACCATTATTCTCCTATTACATCTTCTTTCTCCTAGTTTCTGAAATTGTTGGCAACTCAAATTACCATTTCTCTTCGAGGTTTGGTATTATATATATACAACAAATACTTTAACTTCTAGAATGAAAACGAAATTAGAAACTAGATAATCTCCAATATAAATTAAACAATCACCATGGCATGAAAAATGAACATCAAGAAGTAAACACTGGCAATAAAACAAGAGGAATATAAAATAATAGAAATCAAAATTGAGCAGGCATCATTAAGAAACAGCATCAGCAACCTGTTATACGAGAGTTGAGTGCATCAAAAATTCAACCTCAAAATAATAGAATTTTAAATTAAACTTTGTAAACCTTTTCAATACTGTATAAAAGGAACAACTTTCTTCTATTGGTAACCACAGTTAAATCAAAATGGTCTCTATTCTATCCAAGCAGACCTATCCCAAAAAAAAAGCAGAATTGTTCATTCACGTGTATTCCTTCTTCAACCATCATCGGAAACAATTTCAATCGGCGCAATACACATAAGTCAAATAATCCAAATACAACGACATATAAACATGTACCTGATAACCGTAGTAGTCTGCGGCATCAACACGAGCGCCTTCCTTGAGTAACAGCTCCGCAACAGGAATGTGTCCACGCACCGCACTCCAGTGGAGAGCAGTCTGCCCCGTGTGGTCCACTGCATTTACAGCTCCCCCATGCTGTCCAGACACAAAAATCCTGAATCCGCTCACTCCCACAAATAAAAAAGGAAAATGGTTTGAAGAGAAAGCAGGAAACAAATTCGAAAGAAAAAGACAAATAAGACCTCGATAATGTATTGAGCAGCAGCGGTGCGGTTATTCAGCGAAGCCCATTGAAGAGCGTAATAGCCACCGCCATCAGGCTCCGTGACGGAGCAGCTCTCAGACTCCACCAGCCTCTGCAGCTTCTCGAGATCGCCGTAGGCCGCCGCCGTGTAGACATCGTTTCGCAACGCTTCCTCCTCCGTAGCAGTAGAACCCTCCGTAGAAGAAGATGGGACGCCGCTAGTACTGCCTACACCGGAGTGGGTGACATCCCTTCGGTCCTCCTCCACAATCTCGATCTCCGACGACATCGTCAGGGAAGGCCGATTGTGTTGGAAGGAGAATTGAGTAGGAGGACTATGTTGACCTTGGCAGCCGGAATTTGGAACAGGTAATCAATCGATCGAATTTAAGCCGATGGAGAAAAATGGAATGATTTTGATTCTGTTTATTTTTGCGTTTAAATTTGAAGATTTTAATTTTTCTTACCGCGGCGCGGTAATGTTACCTCAAGTTTTCCACAGAATTGGACGATTGCGAAGACGTGTTCACTAAAAGGCGGAGATTTGTTTTAGCAAAATTGTGAAAATATTAAGTTCCTGTCTTAATGTACTCTATTTTGTGATGATTCCTTTTCACCAATTAAATTTAGCAAATCAATTCAACAAAAAAAATTTTAGCACAAACACAATCCACAATGAATCCAATTTCATCGAAGGTTGGAGCACATCTCACATAGCACCAACACGATGGGACCAGGTTGATTGACCTCATACGTTAAGGTTAGTTCTGGAGATCAATCTTTTAGGCTAAGTATATCTATTGCATAACTAAAGAAGCTTACTTTTGATCCATCAAAAGTTAGAGCATGCCCCCACACGGAACCATACAATGTGATTAGATTGGTTGACTTCAAATCAGTCAGAGCTACTATTGGTTATCAATCCATTAAGTTAATAAACTTGAGAGGTGACAAATAACATGTCCCTTTCAATTTAGTCAATCTTAACATTTTTATTTGAATCATCTTCAGGTTCATTAGAAGTTGGAGCACGCCTCCACGTGGCACAAACCAAATGTAATTAGGTTGATTGGCCATTCTTTAGTAATTTATCCATTAAATTAATAAATTTGGGTCGAAGTATCTCTTATTGTGATCCAATATACTCATCGCACGTCGGAATAGGTTTGACAAACTCTCCACAAGTTTGGCTTTAGTCTATTGAAAGTTGAGTATGCCCCATTGACATGCCTAAGAATATTCAATTTTTATATATACATTTAATGTCCATATTTAGTGATATTATAATTTAAAGAAAGTCATTTTCATGTTTTTGTTTCAGGTATACTAAGTCTAGGCATTTGGAGCTTAAAGGAAGCAAATAGGAAGGATTTTGGAGACAAAAGATGACTCTTTGTAAAAGTTGAACAGGCGCCTAAACGTTGGATTTCGGCGCCTAGGTGCCAGAAACAATTATTCCTCTAAACGCATTGAATTTGGAAGGATTTTTGAAAGGATGTAAAAGGAAACTCTTGGAAATTCGTCCCTACATTATAAAATAAAGATTTTATGTCAGAAATAAGGAGGGGGGGGTGGGGCGGCAAAAAAGGTGTAAGGGTGAGAAAAACTTAGGGAAGATTTTTCTCTAAGAGTTGTAAGAGGAGAGAGAAAGTGAGATTTTTTCTTTATTACATTTCTAAGAAAGAATTGAGTGATATTGTAAGGAGATAAAGTGATTCAAGGGATTTGCTTGGGGAGGAGATTGAGATAAGTTATTTTACTTTATTTTCAGATGTAGTGCAAACTTGTTTCTATATCCATGTTTTGTTGTATCTTTCTCATGAATTCTGAGTAGTTATTTTGTCATTCTCCCTATTTTGTTATTCTCCCTATAATGAGATATAGTTATGTGAAGAATCTAAATTTTTTAGAAGTGTTTTAATTTCTTAATTATGATGATTCAAACTTTTAACTTCATTTACTTATTGATCTGACCAATTGATTTATTAAAATTTGTTGTGAAAACATACAATCTAAGAGGGCTATGCTTTCTACAACTAAGTAAGAAACACATTTGATTTCATGGATGAGAATGTAGTTCATGGGGTTAAATGCAAATAAAAAAATATATACTTTGTTGGGCGTAGAATTAAAGATTTTAGGGTGACAGACTAAAATCCCCACTTTGGACCAGGTGTTTGGAAACTAAAGCGAGATGTTAGCTCTCATGTGAGGGGAACGTGGGAACTCTAAGGTGAGAGCTTGGTATCTTTCGAGCATAACTGCGAATTTAGGGACTAAACTCTGGATTAGCCAATATTCTTTGTCACTCGTAAAGAGGATAAATAATATAATTGTTCCTACTTGGCACAATACAATATAATGACAATTTGGATAATTCACTCACTATAACCGCTTGTAAAGGGGAAGGATATTTTCTAAAATTTGAACCCTTAGTTATAAAACTTAGATTAGTTGCATTAGAATTAACTTTGAAGTTTAGAGATTAGTGTAGTAAACATTGTTTCCTTAGTTGTTTAATACAAATTTCAACCTGCTTGTTTACTTAAGTTTTCTATAATTTTGATATTGCGTCTTTGTGTTAGTATTATTAGAATTTTCACCTTCCTGTGGGATTTATACTTAGGACTCCATTAGAGCCCTTTATTATTTGTCTGATGTGTATACTTGTGTTTGCAAGCTAGTGACTATTTAAAATTGAACATATATATTGATTCACTAGGAGTGGCAGTTTTTAAAGATTTAAAAGAAAAACTGAATATACTGAAGTGAACCTTTGTTGTGATTGTCCTGCATATTTCTTAGTCTCGTTGTCACATGTATTAGGGTGTTGAAAAACATTACTAACATAATCACCGCATCAAGTTTTTGCGTCGTTGTCGGGGATGTAACGGAAAACTACTTTTTAACTTAAAAGACCTTATTAGAACTAAAAGACTTATTTCGTCAAGTATATGTGCATTAGTTCTTGTGTGCAAGTTTATTATTATAATTGTTATTTGTGTTTGTGTATGCATAGTTTAGTATCTATAAGATTAATACCTTAAGATTCTAAATTAGAAAGAACTATAAAAAAATTTGAAAACAACAAAAAGAACTTAATATTTTGAACAAAATGGAAAACAACTTTAAATAATCAATGTATTGAAATTGAACATCAACAGAGACCTTTAAGAGACTATATTAATCCTACGGGAGATGAAATATACCTGAGTATACAAACCACTACTGTAATTGCTAATTCATTTGAACTTAAACCTGTTATTATCCAAATGATACAAAATAATCAGTTTAGGGGAACACCATCGGAAGATCATAACTTATATCTTGCTAGTTTTCTAGAATTTTGTGCTACATTTAAATATGATGGAGTGTCAGATGATGTTGTCAGACTTAGGCTTTTTCCTTTTTCATTAAGAGATAAAGCTAAAATATTGTTAAACACAATAGTATTTTGATCTGTCAGAACTTGGGGAGATTTATCTCAAAAATTATTACCTTAATATTTTCCACCATAAAAAACTGCTAAGCTGAGAAATGATATCACATATTTCTACCAGTTTGAAGGGGAATCAATATACGATGATTGGGAACGATTTAAAGATCTCCTTAGGAAGAGTACACACCACGTTTTACCTGATTGGTTAATAATTCAAACATTTCATAAAAGATTAGTGGGATCTCTTAGATCTATCATTGGCGCTGTTGCTGGTGTTTTGTTAAGGTCAAAACCATTAAATGAATCTTATACTTTAATTGAAAAGATGGCTACTAACAACTTTCAATGGTTCTTTGAAAGGGTAAATCTTTAGAGAGTAGCCAGTGTTCATAATTTTGATGCAATGTCTATTTTGGCTTCTCAATTTGCTTTAATATCAAAGAAATTAAATCATTTTGGAATGAATTTATCTCAAACACCTCTTGTGGCTGAGGAAAATTTTGTGGGACAAATGATAGATTCTCAATCATCATATGAGACTTTAAATGCAATAAATAATCAACTGAATAACCCCTGTTCTAATTATTATAATCCTGGTTGGAAAAATCACCCCAATTTAAATTAGAATAATAATAATCCTAATGGTGCAAATCTGCAATAGGGAAACAATTAAGTGAACCACTTGGGAAATTTAAACAATCAGGGAAATAATAATTATCCTGGTTTTAATAGCAACACACATTTTAAGGATAATAAATTGTTTATGAAGGAAGTAGTGTTACAAATGGGTAATCTGTTAAAATTTTTAGTAGCGCAATGAGAAATATGGAGAATCAATTAAATTGCAACTGTACTTAGCAATAGGCCTCAAGGAATTCTTCCAAGTAATGTCGAGATCAATCTTAAAGACTAGAATAAAAAGAAAATTAAGGATATTCAACTAAGAAGTGGAAGAGAAGTGGAGACAAAAATTCAAAAAGAGATTGAAGTTGAGAAAGAAGGGGTGGAAATTGAAAAGCCAAAGAAAGATATTCCTCACAACTTAGAGTGCCCTATTACACCAATGAAGATTAAAGTTGAAAATCCACCACCTCCATTCCCTCAAAGACTAAGAGAGCAAACGTTGGATAAACAATTTTCAAAATTCTTGAAAAGATTTAAGAAATTAACCATCAACATTCCATTTGTTGAAGCCATAGAATAGATGCCAAGCTATGTAAGGTTTATAAAAAATATACTTAATAAAAAAAATTTACAGATAATGAGACTGTTGCACTTAGTAAAGAGTGTAGTCCTATAATTCAGAAAAAGTTTCCTGAAAAACTTAAAGATCCATGTAGCTTTACTATTTCGTGTGCTATAAGCAAGAGATTTTATGGAAAAACTTTGTGATTTGGGAACCAGTATTAACCTTATGTCGCTATCTATTTTCAGAAGGTTAGGTTTATGAGAGATTTCTCCTACTACAGTAGCCCTGTAGTTAGCTGATCATTCAATCATCCATCCTAAAGGAGTTGTAGAAGACGTATTGGTAAAGTTTAATAAATTTATCTCCCCAGTGAATTTCATTGTGTTAGATATGGAGGAAGATAAGGAAATTCCAATCATTTTAGGGAGACATTTTTTTGCCACTGGAAGAGCTATGATAGACGTAAAAAAGTTGACTTAAAGATCAAGAAGTTACATTTAATATAGCAAAATCAATGAAATACCCAACACAAGGAAGAGATGATGAATGCTTCAGAATGGAAGTTAGTGATTATTTAAGTAAGGACTATTTTTCAGATAATTTTGAAGAGAAAACTAGAGAGAACATTTGAAGCATAAAGATGAGGATCAAAGGCAAGATAAATCAATTGAAGAAAGTAATGAGGATTTAGATAATGTTTAGGAAAGATTAGAGCTATTGAACACTACAAAAATTAATAAGAATCTTACTTGTTCAATAAAAACACCTCCAGAACTTGAGATG